CAGTACGCGCAGGGCCGGCCTTAAAGGGGCCGAGCCCCGGCGAGGAGGTGGGGGGAGGCGGCCGCCTCCCTGGCAAAGCTACCACCCTTACCGGGTCTTGCGATTTCCAGCCGCGCACGGGCTCTAGCCAGGACTCTCCCCCCTCCCCGCCTTTATTCGTTTGCTTTGAAGCCTGTTCTGTTGAGCCTTTTTTTTTTGGCGACGTGTTATAGGCTGCTTACTGGAATTGAATCCTTGCTGCGCTGGGCGATTCGTACGTAACCTGCTCCACCTGGCATGCGTGCATGTGCTAGTAGCCGGGTAGGCGCTCGCACTGACTCTCGCAGGATCAAGACCAAAGGGAGATACAGTCCCTTACTCCGAAGGGAATTTTTTTCTTTTGCGAAATAAAGGCACATTTGTGCATTTTTTTTAACAGCGTCCATGGCTTTGCTACGTAAGCAGAATTTGGTCTGACTTGCTGGCCCTTTAATTATTCTCCAGTGTTTTTCAATCGAATTGAAAGTGATCTATTTGCCCTCAGTGCCCTGGTTTTCATATCGTGCTTTTTTACCAGAAAAAAAGCAGAAGTGATTTTTTTTTTGACTTAGAGATGAAACGGTGTGAGTCTATTCAGAGGTGAAAGGCGGCTTGAGAGATGAGCCTTCTGCTGGGTTGTGTGATCCAATGCACGTAGGCTGCAGAGGGCATGACTCCCCACTCTGCCTGTTACGCTGCCATGACTACAGCAGCAGCTTTCTGTGCTGCACTGGTTGGAATGACTCACAGGAAGTCTCCAAAGAGAATCAGGCCCAGAGCCGTCTCCACACAGACATTTTTAGATATGTGAATCAAGCACATGGTAGATTTTAGCAAAGTCCCAGTGTTCTGCTGCTGCTGGAAAACTTGAAAACACATACTCCTGAACAAAAGAATAGGACGGCAGTGTACGGCAATGCTTCAGAGTGGCACAGGCTAAAACAGAATTAACCGGAGTGGAACACTTATTTTCTTAGTAATTAACAGTGCCATTAAGAACTGAAAATGTTTCCTTCCTCTGATGTCTTCAACCCCCTGCCATTGCATGTCACTTCTTCCTCCCACCTTCCTCTTTTCTGCCTCCCAGGTTTGCTGCATGGAGGTGGTGTGCGAATTCAGGCAGCGCAGGGGGAAATGCTGGAGCACAATGGGACCACTGGTGTGTTTGCTCCATGGCCTGGCTGTCCCAGAGTGGCAGACCCTGGCTGTGCTGTTCACACAGTGGAGAGACACCTGCAGTTTCTTTCTCTCTTAGCCCCTGAGACTAAGGGAGAAGCAATGCACGTATCTTCATGGCTTCCATAGGTGCATTTTTACAAATTAACCAAGTACAGCTGTGCATGTGTGCACCCCTCTGTGGAGTGGTTGCTGCACACTCACATGCCACATTCATAATGTTTTCTGGATGCACAGCATCTGTTTTAGAGCACAACTGGTTGCAGTTCAAATAGGAACAACAAAGGAACATGTCTAAGACAAAGTAACTGAAAAGCTCAAATGTTTTGCAGAAATGCCTCACCAACCTGTACTCTATATTTAAGAGCCAAAGGCAGATGGAGCTTTTACATATCCTATTGGCAAGCATAGGGCAGGACTGTTAGCAGCTATAGGAAGTCTTAATTGCACTTGTACCCTAGGGTACCTTAGGAATATATACATTTCAAGGTTTGGATGCTCTGGGAATAAGTCGGAGAGTAACTCTGAATGCATCCATCATAGAAAGGCTTCAGAAGAGGTACAGGGCAGGCAGAAGACTTTCCCGAAGACTGACTGCAAACGGCAGGGCTGGAGCATTAATTGGTTGCAGTTTTACTTTACCCGAGTGTATCACAGTCAACAAATACAGCAGAGAGCCACTGGACAGGGAAGAGCCAGGAGAGTGTCAAAGAAACACTGATAATGTGACTCCAAGATGAAAAACAGGTAGAAGTCTTTTGAGTGATGGCTCTATTAAGAGAGCAAACTGATTTCTCTGCCAGGGAAATGCCTCCTCCTGGGGAGGTCCTGCTGTGTTTAGGGGCTTTGTAACCATTCTTCATGGGTGATTCTGCCAAAAGAATACCTGCCTCGTGTCATACCTTCTTTCCTCAATGGACACGACTCTACAAGTCTTTAAATGGAAGCAAACAATATTTGCTAAGACATACTGTATTTATATCCTAATTAGGATTAGCATTACTTTTGTCTGTGCTGCTTTGAGTCACCGAAACAGCTTTCAGTTGCTATCCCAACAAGTGTTTTTTTGCAGGTTGAGATGCAGGCTTGGTATTTAAAAACTGACTGCAAACGAAAGATGTGATTGCAACAAAATAGGAATGCTTACAATAGAGCTCAGAATAGGGGCAAGATTGGGTTTATGATATGCCTAATTTTCAGAGATGCAGGAAACATCTGTATTCAGTCTCTCTTTTTTACTTTAAAGACAAATGATCTTATATGACCCAGTGCTCTAATGATACATGTTTATATGGAAATTTTCCTTTCATAATTAATTCATCACTGTAACCTCTGAGAATGGCTCACTGCACCTGTCCCTCATTTTGAGCTGTGCTCTAGCGTTCGTTGTCACTGCAAGTTGTTCAATGGATGAAAAGGGGAGGGCAGAACAGTGGTTTTTTCCACTTACTCTCTCCCCGTTCTGATTCCCTGGCAGACTCTTTCAGTAGAAGTGAAGTTTTTCTGCTAAGCAGCTAAGTGTCCAGGGACACTCTAGCGTCAGATCTAGGGAGAATCTGCACTACAATCCTACCCTTTTGTTTAAAGGGCAATCCTGTCTTTCCTGTTTTGAAGGAAGGCCCATACACCATATCTGGTAATCACATCTATTGAATTAGATTTAAAATGTACTCTGAAATCAGGTCAAGATAGTTCTATTTAAACTTGACCAGGCTGCCCAGCATGAACAGGGAAAAGGCATACCTACATGGAGCATTAATCTTCACATAGAAGACTAAACTATTAAAAAAAAAAATCTGTTGAGAGTATTTTGAGAAAGCACCTTCCCATCCCAACCACAGGCCTTTACTGAACAAAAAGAGGGTCTCAATCACAAGGCTCCTGATGGATTTTTACTTTTATCGAGGCAGCAGATAGGACATTAAAGCAGCAGTGAGTAGCAGGTACTAAGGTACCACTAGCTCTTACATGTGTACCAAGTGCAGATAATATGACTAGAACTGCAGCGTTCAGAAACTATGGTGAAGATTCAAAAATTAGCTGTTAGCACCTGAGGGCACCTCAAGCAAAGGTGGTGGTGTTCCAGCCTACGTTGCCAGCATTGATCTCAAAGAAGCTGACATAGATTCTGAAAGGAAAGATAGGTGCTGTTAACTGTGGCTGCTGAGAACAGAGCGCTGCAGCCTCGCCAGGGCTCCTGCTGCAGAACACACACAGTTACGCTGTAGGCCGTCTCCCAGAGCTGTATGCTTCCCTGGACTGCACTATGTCTGAGTGAGGTTTCCTTTTGTGGATTCTGGCAGGTATTTGCCAGTGCCCCTCCCCACCTTTAATACCTTGTCTACTTCTGTTCTGGAGTTCTTATATTATTCTCCTCCCTCTTGTTTTAAGTTGATCTCAGGACCCTGTATTTTAACTAAAGTGACAAAGTCACTTTGGTACAGATTGGCATACATCCAGAAAGAGCAATAGAACGCTCCTATTTAAGTGGAACTTCCATAGCATACCTCCACCCACACCCGAGAGGCAGCATGAAAATGTTGATACATGTAGCTCACGTTATCAATTTAATAAAGTCAAATTATTGTGTCTGTACCTGGACTTGCATGTTACCTGTGTATGTATAAGATCTATGGGTTCATAGAGTGCCCGAGTCCTTCATCATTATAACCAAGATAAAGGTCTTACAGCTTTTCAGCATCGAAGCTAATGCAGTTATTCCTTTCTTCCTTTTGATTTGAGACTTACTCTATTGACTTGGCCTTTAGCATCTTCAAGCAGATTGGCATTAGAAGAACACCAAAGGACAAGTTTGGCATTAATAGCTTCAACATCTTTTGAAAGCCATGTCAGACAAATTGCTGCATGAGTTTACCTGTCAGCTGGTATTTTCAGCTGTTTGTTCATCAGGTCGCATAGCAACTTGGAATAGACCTTGTTCCCCTGGTCTCCTATCTTGCCAATGCTGTAGAGAAAGCACATAGCACAGGGCCCGTGCAGCCTCCAAATGACATCACCTGATCAGGAGAGATCTGTATTGCTACATACTGTTGGAAGAAAGAAGAAAAATTTATCTTCAGTTGTCAAGCTAAGAAAAATTTTTGAAAGTCCCAGAACTGCAGTGAGAATAGGTATATACCTATCATTTAGGCTTTTGAAATTCTCTCCTGTATGAACTTCATTGCATTCCTAGACCTCCTGAACATTTTCCTGCAAATCACTGAGATGAGAATGTATAACGCACCACCACTGACGTTTCCACGATATTCCTTTTGGGGATGGGCGCTGCTATCACAGCTTTCATCTGTTGTGGAATGGCTGTTCTCCAGCCATAAATAAAAGGACTAACCAAGTACAGTCCCATGCACTTAGGGATGCTTTTTACCACTTACTAAAATGCAAGTGAAAGCCTTATTTCAATCTGGTTCTTACTAAGCAACTCTGCAGCACAGACCCTTCCCTGCCTGCTGCTGTCTCTGTGGATTTTTTTTTTTTTCCTCCATACTTTGCTTGGGATGTCCAAGGCTTTTCATATAACTACACAGATTTGCAGTTCACTCAAAATGAAATTCCTGCCTGTGCTAAGGTCTGGTACAAAGACATCACACTATTTAATCTTGGGAGGCCAAGTTCCTAATAGTTCTGGGGGGAAAACACTGCACTTTGTGTGCTGGGCTGTGCCTCTGTAGGCTTGAGTGAGTCTCTCTGGCTGGTGGGCAGTAGATACTCTCTTCTCCTTTTGTATCCCCAAAAGGCACGAAGCCTAGGACAAAACCGATGCACAGTCTTGAGTTCTCTGTTGAAGTAGACCCTGCTGAAACATTCCAAGTAGGGCAGGAGGCATGCATAGAAATCTTCTCCAGAGGAGGGAAACAAATGCATACTGCTTGCAAATATTGCTGATCTTCCAGCAAAGACTGAGCACTGTAGATCAGTGTGTAAGCTAGCACGTTGCAGTTAAAAAGGGGGTGGTGGTGGTGTCTGGATGCCCTGCCAGGTACACTGCTGGAAGGAGGATACTTGCAGTATTCTTTTCTGCAAGTAGAATAAGAATTTTGGATAGTAAGCTGAAGTGCTTCCAGAGCTTGCTGACCTGCAATACACTGAGGACCTTCTCCAAGCCACAGTGCTCCCTGGGAAGAGCCAGTGCCAGCAGCCGTTTTCAGTCACACAGCTCCCACCCTGCATTCCGCAGAGATTTTACGCCTCACTGGCTCCGGCTGCAGTCTTCTCTGCTGAGGTAAATGCTAGCTGACATAGCCAAGGTCTAGATCAACATCCCTCTCATTAAACAAAACACAGCCTAATCCTGCTTTTGTCCTTGATGGCAGGAAAAATAGGAGAATGTATCTATGTTAATATTAATGAACAGCCTGCAGTTTTCCCTGCCACTAATACAGAATGTCAGATCCACACACAGGGGAATACAGGAATCAGTTCCTTTGGCATCCATCTGCCTTCTGTTCTGTTCTTACCCACGTTTATTAGCAGCGCATCATTAGAACTCAGCAGCGGTTAACCCTCTTGCTAAAACAAACTAGCCTGAGTACCAGGAGTTGTCTGGCTAATTAACCTTGGCTATCATTCACAGCTTGTTTGGGTGCAGCGTGCATCTGATCGCAGCAATACAGGATGAACAGAGATCCTGCTGAGGTACCGCTTGCTCAGCCCTGTTCTCTGGCTGCACACCCTGTGCTGTCAGCTAGCTTTAGGCCAAACGTAGGTATACAAGTTGTAGGCACAATTGTAGGCCTTCAATACTTAGGCTGATTTTAAATAATAACCTGCTTCTGGAGTAGGTGTTTAATCACCACTTTTTTCTCCTTAGAGCAGTTTGAAAGTTTGTTGAAACAGTTTTTCTAGTACAAAAAGCTGTTTGATTTTAAGAAACCCCATACACAAACAAACAAAAAAACCCACACAGGATTTTTCCAAATGGTACCATTTCCTGTGAAAGGAAAGCTCTGCATTCCAACCCACTCTAATCCTTTCCCTCTTTGTGTTATAACTAAGAGACTCTCCCTTTCCCATTGCCTCCTTTGTCACGAAGGGCTTGCATGTCCTCTCCAAAAATCCCTTTGTTGTTCCCTGTATGTCTCCAAGTCCCCTAACATATCCCTTCCACACTGCTGCCACCAGCTGGCAACCCCTCCCCTCACCCCCCCACCCCCCCACCAGTAAACACTTGTTGGCTATATCGATAAAACCTTTGATTTTTGTAGAAGGGCACAAGCCTGTAATGCAGAACTTGACTGGAGGTGACTGAAGTTTTAAAAACTTCCCTCCAAGATCTAACTGAAATCTTGCTTTAAATTAAGCTGACTGCTTCTTACTCCAGGGATGAAGGGGAAAAAAATTCCAGGCCTCTCCATGACAGCTTCCTGAGCATCTCCTCTCAGTCTTCTCTTTTCTAGACTAGAGAAAAGATTTCTTAGGCCTTGCATGTTATGTTCATTTCTATAGTGTTTGTTTGTTTGTTTGTTTCTGGTGCATCTCGAATCTGCCTACCTCTTCCTTGAAGTAGAGCACCTGAGGATGGCTGGAGGACATTTGCTGAGGCATCTTGTTCTACCTTCTGCACAACACAGGATAAATTCTCCTACTCCCAAGCACTGTGTTGATTTTTTAGTGTTGTAATCCATAATAGCTCACCAGATTCTTTACTCTTTAAATAATTATTCTTTGTCTTCAGTGCAGTTTGTTTGTTTCCCCTTAAGTGCAGTACTTAAGGATCAACTACTGAATTAGAACTTCCTGACTTGAGAAGATATCTCCAGTTGTCTTCTTGAATTCTAACCCTGCCCCTGCATATACAAGCTATTGTCGTATGCACGTTTCAGTCCATTGACCAAGTCATTAACCCAAATGTTGGCCAGATCTGAGCACAAGACAGACTCCTCTGGGACTGTTTGAAACTTCCCCAATTTTGACAAAACTATGCTAGTGGTTTCATAGCTATTTTCCTCTTACCATTTATAAGAGGTTCAGAAGTTTGTTCTAGTATCTCCTAGTTATCCTGCTAGATTTTTAAGGTTGGGTCTGTTTTTGCCCTTCCTCACACCTCAGGGCAATTCCACTTGTAGCAGTTATTAAACATTTGCTAAGAGTTCAGAGACTTCTGTTGCTGTCTGAACTAGTCTAGGACAACTGTCATTTGAGGATGCTTTGTTTCCATGAAGAAAGAAGATCTGCTCAGGAACTTCAGGTAACTCAATAGGTAGAGAAAGGATTCTCAGGGCTCCTCAGGAGATCCTTCTGTAGATGCCAAAACTTTATTCTTTCTACAGCATCAAAATATCATTCCCAAAGTAGGACAAGAAACTTTTTCTTGAAGTGCTCATTTACTAGTGAATACATAGAAAGGGTACTTCACCGGGCTACTAATAGTCGACAGCCAATTGCTGCTGTAGTGACTGAGAAGTAGCTTACATTATAAAGCTTACAGCTCTGTAGAGAGGTTTTTTAACATGTTTTTCATATTCATCAACAGCTTTCAGTAAACAATTGATACAACTCCTAGTGGCCTTTCAGGATTAATTAATAGAACCCTTACAAGACCTTTGGGAATGATAGTTGTTTCAAAGTGGTATTTCAACACTTTACCTCAGAAGTGTGCAGTCACGGGTTTTAGCAGGTAACAACATCTACAGTTTGGTAATGAAACAAGCAGGTAGTTTTTACTCTAGTATTTTGACCACGAGTAATAGGACATTGCACAAAGGTATTTTTGCTAGATCTGAAATAAGCTCTTCCTCAGACTTAATTACTAGGCTACAGATAATGTGGTGGGAGATAATGAATGTGTATTCAGCAGTCCTAGACAAGTAAGCTACAGAGTGAGGATTGCTTTTCAGGCAGCTAGATTCTTGAGAGGTACTAAATGTCTTGACACAGGCCTACATCAAATACAATCACGTACCAAGCTATTTCAAATACATTAAGTAATTTAAGATCTCAGTGCAGCTAATTTACAAGAAAACAAGCATCTGACATGTTTGTACAAAGAGAAGATTCAAAGTACTAGTGAGTCAATAGGTGCATTAGTTTAGATAGGATATCATGGAAAAATAGCTCACAGCATAGGCCCAACTGACTATTAAAAGAGAAAATATTCAAGCACCCAGAGCTACCTGTGCTGGCTTGCCCATTGCTTTTGATAGGTGCTGAGTCAGCTCTCCTGTGAAAGATTCTGGAACTTTCTCCTTGCTTGAATTTGTGTTAACAATGAATTTAGGCATCTTTGGATTGTGAGAGGGTTTTCTTTAAATCTTTCACCTCAACTTACTCACAGCCCTGTTTCCAACTCACCTGTTAGGTTACTCAGCCAATGTGAAAGAAAGCATCTCAGGAGCCTTAAATAGCCAGTGGTGTCTTACCTTCCCCAGGTGCAGCTGGAGGAGTGAGAATGCTGCATGAGAGAAGAGGCTGCATGTGCCATCTGCTGGCTGCTAATGCAGATAGTCACTCTAAGGCTTTCATAGGAGTAAATACAGACTTTTTACTCTCTGGAAATCAAAACATCTAACAATGGTACTTGATTTTTGGATACAGTCTGATCATGGAAACCAATGAAAGAACAAGTATTTCATAGACCAAGTATTTGTGAATGGGAGAGCTATAATGTGACTTTTTTTTGCAACTTATAATTATGTAAAAAATGTGGGTGGGCTCCTCAACTGTCAGGTGTGGGACTCTTTCTGTGGAATAGACCATAATAAAAAGCATCAGTAGCACATGCAGTGGATGCAAGTGGATGCTCAACTGTGATGAAGTTGACAGAAAGATGCCTTAAAATCAGTTCTTGATTTCCTACTATGCCAGACACTGAACTTCATATGCTTAGAAAAGGCTTGTTCTCAGCTTGCACTTGTTTTGCGTTACTAGTAGTCCCATAACAGTCAACAAGGATTTTTTGAGAGATGGGAAATCAATAGGATTTCTGAATTGAGATTTCTTTATCCAGAGTGTGGTAGGTGTTGTGGCTTGCTGACTAGTAGAGCCTTACGTGACTCTACTAGTCATGTAAGACTAGTAGGTGATTCAGAGGGGTGAGGTAACATTTGATATGGAGTGTTTGCTGTGAGATGTATGTGGGAAAGCAGGTTGAAGGAGCTGATGAAGATAAAAGAAATGGTTTGCTAATCTCTCTGTGTCAGTAAGAGGATGAATGCCTTTATGCCTGGTAGCTTCTGTGAGTAAAGGACTCTTCTACCCACTCCCCTCCGCAGCATCTAAAAAGGAGTAAGAACTTTCTTGGAGTGAGGACGGCTTGGACTAAATGCTTGTACTCCAATGTAATTTAAGCAAATATTCTTTCGGTGTTGAAAACCTCAGTATGAACATGTGTAAGTTAAAATCAAAATACATTATCTAGAAAGTAAGTCCATTCCTTCCCTGTAGCACCCTTGCTATAAAAAGCCAGCAAACAAAAAGAGTCAGGAGGTGAACTGCTATGTGCCAGTGTTCATCTACAGCCCCTGTTAATGGGTTAGCTCTCCAGTATCAGAAGCAAAAATAATGGAAATACTTCCTGAAATAAAGTCCCTTTGTATAAACGAAGGTTGTAGGACATATTTCCTATGTCAAAACATTAAGAACAAATAAACTCAGGTGAAAGCTCCATCCATAACGATAATGATAGAAACTGCTGTTTGTAATATTGACGTGTCTCTCCTTCAGTGAGTTATTGAAAGCAGGTGACATGATCCAAAGCATTTAGTCATGAATCATACCATAGTTATTAGTTGTCACTTGGAAAAATCGAGAACGCATTTCCAAACAACTTCACAACCTTTTTTTTTCTACTGCATCCCTAGTTATTCGCAACTTCCTCATATAAAAAAAATTTCCAAAACAAACTTTCTCTTCTCTCAAAACATCTGATGCAATTCCCAGAAGCTGATGTACCAGCTAGGAAATCAGATCCTTAGACTCCACAGAGGCTCTTGGGAGTGCTTAATTTTATAGGAGCCATTTTACTTCTTTTGAATATAATAATGACGCTGTTAAGCAGGTCCTTCTCCCTGCCGAGAGTTACTAGGATGTTCACCACTGAGATTTCTATTACATTTCCAGACTGTTGCACAGCCCAAAAGATTTCACTTTCAATGCTTTTTTTCTTTTTTTGGTATTGTGGCTAGAACCTTTTTCTGGATTTCCTTTGCTAGCTTTTCTATCTGTATCTCCTTGGGTCACCGTAAACCATTTACCTAGCTTTTACTCTGTCAGCCTGCTAGTCAGATATTTTAGACTTCTATTTTTCCCCTGCCTCCTGACTGATGATCATTTAACTGGTTAAAAATCCTTCCTTCCCTTAGTCTGCCTCCTTATATTATTCCACTTAGCCCTTCATTTTTCTGTTATTCTTCTGTCAACTATTTGTCAACAGTTTCCTGACATTGAGGTGCTTAGAACTAGTGTGGTCTCATTTAGGAAAGATCAATAACAAGCTCCTGGTCTAGGTATACGTGGCATTGAACAAGAGTCCTGGAAACAAGTGACACCAGCTGAGGCCTGCAGTTGAGGATCAAGAGCTGGGAGGATAGCCTGTACAAAAGTTCTTGAAGGGGGATTGGGCCTTATGGACTGCGCACAAAATGTTTTAAAACTTCATAAAGTACATTAGCATGAAAGATTTATTTTTTAGAAAAAAATCTCATTATATCCAGTAGATTTTAAAACCAAGTGATGGAATTTCCTGGGAAAATGTTTAGATATCAGAAAGAAATAAAAGTCTAGCAAGAGGAATTTCATATCTATGTATTTTTAAAAACAATAGGAATAAGACACAGTGTAGCTTGCAGTCTGTTTTTAATTTTTCCTTTTTAGTTCTATTGCAACAGAGTTTCCTGTCTTTTCTAAGAGATGCAAATTTCTCCTCTGAACATTCAGAGTTTGGTGCAGAACAGCTGTTCCTTAAGAAAATTATTTTGTGTGACTGAGGTTTCTTTTTTTCCAAAATTTAACTTGTTGAACTCTGCTTTTATTTCCATGATCGACTTTCCCTTGGTCTCTGGGAGGTACAAGTAGATGAAAATTGCTGATAAAGCAAGGATTCCAAAAAAGATAATGAAGCAGAAGGGTCCGAGGTTATCCTACAAACAGAAATGAGAGACACTGTAAGAAAAATAAGAGTCTCATTTTGTTTTCCTGCCCTTGGGTGCAAGTCTATATCTTAGTAATTAAAATTCAAAGATGTGCTCACTAAACAAATCAGGAAAGGTATCGAACTGGGAGTTTCCACTGGCCACATATGGCCTGACTCTATTTGTGGCAAAGACCTGGGGGACCCCTGAGCAGGGCTGGGTAGTTGGACAGGGCCCTAAATTTCACATGGCGTTACTTTTGTTTTGTTCCCTGGCCTGTTGTTTTGTTCCTTCAGAAATGGATTAGACTGGAGGGCGGGATCTGACTGGAGTCACTTACAACAATCAGTGGAAAAATCATCCCAAGTACAAACAGCCCCATCCAGTTGATGCAGCCAACAATCAGAAAGGCAGATGGTCTGAATGACTGGCTGAAGATTTCAACCATGATGGATATAGTGGCTCCAGCTGAAAAAGAAAAGGAAAACACAGACAAGACGTATTTGTTTCCTTTGTTCCTCAGTGCACCTTCCTCCTGCCAAAGATCCTCAAAACGGCCATGGCAGAAAATGATGGAAAGGAAGAATGGGTAGCCTGCTGGCAGGTGGCCTCTGCTATGAGGCTAAAAGAACTTGATTCCTAAAAGGGACTACAGCTGTTAATTTAGAACTTTTTCAAATGCACATACTGGAATCCTTTTCTTGGTGCCAGTGCATCTGTGCAGTTCCCTATTGCATTGGTAGCCATTATTGATGCAGGAGTTTATAAAACCAGCTCCCCTACTTGCTCCGTGGTCAGTTCCACCTGAAGCATGTTGGTAGGTGTAAAGTTTGACTCACTAAGTTAATGAAGGGTAGGATTAATATGATGTACCTCGAAATGCCTGGAATCCTTTTTTTTAAGCTGAATATTTTAAAAATTATTCTGAAATGTCTTTTTCAAACCCTCTGGAGAAGATGATACTCTATTGTGAATCATTCAGATCCTGTGATCAGCCAAAAAATTGCAGGTATCTGTATCCTTTTCCTTTGTCCCGCTTGTACATATCTGTTGATATTATTGAGTTCACAGGGCTGAGACCCTTCTCCTTGCTTTCTAGAATCTTTTTACCTTGGGACTAGTCCATTCTTCCTCTGTTGGTTGTGTAACCAACCAATATGATATAAAACTTCCTCCCAACATTACCACTGATGTACTCACATGGTCCAATTCCATAGAAGATAACAAATAGGAAGATCAAGATAACACTGAAGTAATGCATCCAAAAGAACTGGTGCTAAAGTGAAAAAACAAAGTGATATCAAACAGTTAGATACATGAGAGAGTAGCAGTGCTCTCTTTTCTGCTTTTGAGTAAAGTTTTTGCGCTTATTCTGAAGGAAAAAGTCCTGCCTGTGAGGCAAGACCAGAAAGGCCGGCTGGTGCTGGGTGAGTAGCCAGAAGGCTGCTGTCTCTTTACCTGCAGCGAGAGGGTCACGGTAAGGAGCGCTAGTATAAAACACATCAGTGTATATCCTCCCCATAGCAGCATCTTCCTTCCAAAACGCTCTATAAGGGTGCTCTGAAAAGCAGAAAATACAGATGCCTCACATGTCATAAATCCTAGTCCTCGAATGAAATAATTCCTTCCTTCTCCCTATGTTCCTATCAGAAGTTTTATCTGAATAATACAGTCAGAAATCAATGTCATTTGAGAGTCTCTAAACTCCTAATGGATTTTATTAGCTTCCTCAGAGGTGTATTTATTAATTATTCCTTTTCTATTCTTAGACAGTTCCCTTTCTTGCATGGATATATACATCAAATTGTGCACACACACATAACACACATGCACATCTAATCAAGAACATGAGTTGATGCACCTAATCAAGACCTGTGTTCCTTTGGAGCTGTGCCCTTGCTTCTCTTGATCTGCTCATGTCTTCTCACAGAGCAGTTGCTCTAGGAGTTGTTTGTAACAGAATGAGAAAAAAGCTTTCTGGAATAAAAATGAGTCTAAAGACATCCAGTCATGCAAAATAATTTGAGAAAACAGTTGCCTTTCATCCTGCATATGAGTTTGCATAGGCAAGAAGAGATGTCTTCGATTGTGCAAAAAAAGCAGTCTTCCCTAATCACTGTTATAAAAAAGAAAAAGTACAATTGTTAACTACA